TATGTAAATCATATGATATCATATGATTTGCTATAAAATTACTAATAAAAATGATCTACGTCACCCCTACCCTTAAGCTGATTTGGCTGAATTTTTGATTTAAATTTTAATAAAAAATTCATTCACTCAATTATCACATTGAGGTATTAGCAATAGATCAGGAAAAAAAAGAGTTACATATAAAAAAATGCTAGGTTAAATGAGATAAAATCTCTATAAACCCAGAAACTTTTTTATAACTAGCAATGAATTTAATCTAGACTATTGCATCTGTTACCAGTTTCTAATGTTTACTCTAGACTATACTTAGTGTTAAAAATCTCAGTAGTAAAAAAATAAATTTTCTATACAAAAGTGAAACCTTAAATTAAATACTATATTTATACCAGAACACCTGCTCATTTAGTCAGGTGGTTAATATAAAAACAAAGAATTTAACTCAGTTTAACCGATATTACATCTTCACCAGAGCACCTGCTCATTTAGTCAAGTGGTTAGATCCAAATACAGGAAAACCAGTAAGGACAGTCTTTGTTGCTAAGGGTTAAGGTTAGAAGTTAAGTGCAATGTTCTAAATTATTATTATCAAAGTTAGGCGAAAGTAAAGTCCAATATCGGAGGGATAGTAAGTGTGCAAATGTAAACATTTGTTTTTTTTATAGATACTGTAATCGTTAGATGTGCGTTACGTAATTCGTTACCCCTAGATCACTGCACAATCACCGGTTTGGAATATGATTGGCTAGTCAAAACTCGACTATCGATCAATCAAGAAATTTAGAATTTCACTTTCTTGCTACGTACGTATTAGTTTTTTTTTTTGATGATGTATTAGAAAAACAAGTTTTGAGTATTTATTATCCAAATATCTTCACCTTATATGAATTTCTTACTACGCATAGCGGCAACCAAATTAAATTGATTCAGAAGGGTGTCGAAGAAGATTATACAAGCTTACTAAAAACTTCACTTATAAATAATACCAACGGTCCTTTCCATGTTACTTGTTAGGAAGTGTTTCGGAAAAAGAATATACAGAAGTATACTTTAGCTACTAAATTTGCTAAGTGAAGATGGTTCGTTAAAAAACTAATCTAAAATTTTACTGATAGGTGGTTAATAATGCTATTACACGTAGAATTTGTTAATGAAAAGACAGCCTCAAGCCGAAAGAAGAAACCCAACGTTTTATCGCTTGGCTTTAATGATGTTAGTATAAAATTTCAAACATGTTATTGTGTATAAACTAAAAAGGACAATAAAATAAACCCATAAAGTGTATAAGGTTGAATATGTAGTATAGTATTTTGTAGGTTTGGTGAGAAAGCAATAACTTATTTATTGAAGAATACATCAATACTTATTTATCTTTCAAATAATCTGTGATTTTTTTGGTGGCGATACTGGGGAAGACCAACAAGTGGAAACGTTCAATGTTACATGAATGTTTATGTATTTTCACACGATAATTGGCCAATCAAATCATAAGTTTTTAAAGAATAAAAAAATGCTATCGTTATAACGAATTTAATTACATATTTTGCCACCAACTAAGCAAATGTATCTTTATTTCGTTTATTAACTATATAATAAACAAACTTTGAATCATCACAATATATAGAAAAACCAATAATAACATCTAATCCTATATAAATATAATCCAAAAACCGATGCATATGCACATATTATATAGTTATATAGTCTTTAATATTCGACATTACATGATCTCTAATACTCGACACTTATGCTATTGTAATAGTTCTATACGTATGGGTTCTTATTTCTATTTTAAGAAATGTACAAAAAAAAAGTATGTAGTTAGTTCATATTTTATTAATTAACGCACAATTACCCTTGTGAATCGTTGCTTTCAGCTTTTCTTTGATTTTTATCACCCAAACATTCAAAATTTGTAGTTTGGTATTTCGTAATTACTTACTTCTACATATACTTTGTAAAGAAGCTTGTAATATAAAATATGTGGGTTAAACCGATATTGTTAAAATACAGCACAGTTCACTTAGTAAACCAAAGGCTTACACAAGCTCGTGAAAAAATACTTTAAAATGTATAAATTGCGATTATCACCCACCAATCAAAATCCAGGATCTGGTGTAACGTGAATTTTTATGAAAGAGTTTTTTTATTTATATGTTGTCTTCGATTGTTTTGATTTCGGAAGTCCATGACCCTTGACGTTTTATCTATCCACTTTCGTTGTTGCATAAGTTGTTTATAAAGTAAAGGTGTGTATACTCTTCGCTAGCAGCTGTTTACAGTGTAACGAATTCTGTTAGAGAATCGAAAGCACGTCGTGGCCAACCTATCAATCATGGTTGAACGTTCTTCTCTACCAGTTATCGATGCCCTGGAAGACATTTTCCCCTTGTATATATATTTTTTCTGGCAGTGAGCCTAGCTTCATATAAAAAAAATAAAAAATACCTTTAGGAGCGAAGCCTGCCGTTCATGCAGAGTGAGTCATAAGACCTCGGTGGACATTTTAATTTTCATATCCTCCCTCTTTTTTTTATTCTTATCTGCTTTTTTTATTTTATATCCGTTTTTTTTGGTATCACATATAAGAAAAGATATTTCTTTTCTAACTATTTTTTATTTAGATGGGACGAAAACCGAAAGAAACCTCTATTAAATCGCAAATAAATGTTCTAAAGAACGAAGTAACACAAGCACATATTGAAGTTATACAAGCACATATCTTATTAAAAGAAAAAAATATCAAATATTGGATATTAAATGTTAATCATGAGAAACTTATTGAAGATTATACTCAATTAAAAGCGGAAAATGAAATTTTAAAAATTGTAATTATTGTATCTATATCTATCATACTTTTTGTAACAATAAAATATATTACGAGTTCTTATATCAAGACTGAATACTGGTAAATATTAATTTACCGAGCTCTATCTTAATCATTTATCACCATATAGCCTAATAGCTTAATTAATTAATATAAAATTTATTTTAATGTACGATTTACGAAATAAATCTCTGCAGATTCTGGTTCCTCAGTAAAGGGTGGCGATGGATCAAAATCATTCATTAAAAAAACCTTTTAACTGCACCAAAAAATCACATACCAAAATAACCTACCATTTAACTTGTTATGAATTATAGAAATGATTTTAGAAGTAACGTTCTCTGGTTATATTTTATTGATTGAATCAATAATATTCACTGGTTAGAAAAAAAACGGACTCAGATAATTCCTATTTACGAGATAAAGAAATTCCTAAATCACCAAATACAATAACGGTGATAGTGCTAGAACTTTCCAGGGATCAAATACTAATTTGTCAGAAAATTTATCTCTTAGCAATGTCAAAGTATACAATAATATACCCGATGACCAAAAAATAAATTCAAAAAAATAGTGTGAATCTTATATTTAACAGATACAAAATGTTTTTCCATTCTGCAACTCACAATGCTAATGGTTCTGCCAGGTTCGGACTGCCTGAACATCGTAAGTAATTAAAAAGCAGGAAACCTCTAATTCACGCTCGTCAAATACTTGTGGTGTAAGTCGATTAAATCCTTCCATAAATACTTTAAATTGATTCTCAACATGTTTAGAAATACGCTATTCAGTGATGAGCCTGATAGAAATTTAATTCCGAATTTAGAATAAGAGGGATATTTAATTAAAATAAAACCATACATCCATATACTCTATATATTCTTTCTTATTTTCATCCGTTACTGGAATATTGAGACCATTCAGTTTCATTAATATTACTCTCTTTGTAAAACAGAAAAATAGTTAGTACTAAAACAGTTATGTATATTTTTTATAAACCAAATTTACATACAAAGCCCAGTTTAAACTTCTATAAAAATCGGCATATACACTTTTCTTTAAAATCATTTTATAAAATGATATAATGAAAAATGCATCTAAAAATCGACAATGGAAAATACCAAGCTCTACCACTCGTCCAATAAATTTAAAATAAATGAGATGTTGAGGATCGATACCCGAGTGAGGATTAATTTGGAGGGTATAGAATAAATCAAACATTTTATAAGAAAGCAAAAAGAAAAATTCTCTAAAAAATTTGTAAAATAAAGCCATTTAACACATGCTATGTTTACGAGAACATTTGAGGGTTATAACAATTTTTACAAATTTGTCATAGCATTTTTCGTTAATTTTGCTGTTATTAAAATCCAAAAAAAATAAGCAGAATTTTATTTAAAATATCAAATGCATTTAATATTGCATATTAACTAGACAAATTAGCAAATTATTTTGCATGACGTAGGTGACAAAATTTTATATAATTACAACAAAAATTGGCATTTAAAATATTACAATTGAAACTATCAAGGTACATATACTGTAACTTAAAATAAATATATGTATAATGTGTTTAATGATACAAGCTAAATATATATAATTATCCAAAATTGATTCTATCTATTCCACAAATAATCTATAATTGAAACCTTTCCATATAACCTATTTTAATTATTAAATTAAAACATTTTACCAACCAAAAAATATTAGTTACTCTAACCAAAATCAAATAAAATCCCAATAAATAAATAAATAAATAATATTCTATCACAAAAAAATAACTATTTCAAAAATCCATAAAATCAAAATTAGAATCATTAGAATCTTGAGAACAAGCAAGCTTATTAGCGAATTCTAATTGTTGCTGTCTCTCTCGCTTTTGATTAAGTTGCCTTTCGTATGCAAGTTTTTGAAAACTATTTAAACTCTGTATAAATTTACTTCCAGTCTATTATATTAAAGGGTTAGTCTATATGTATTTATAAAGAGCTTACAATTTGAAAAATATATATATTACATGTAAACTTACTGCATGACTATTAAGTCGATTAAACAATTCAATTGTATTATCTCTTACAGTCTTAAGTGGATAAAATAGACCTAATCCAATCGGAAATAAGCCCCCTTGATTTTGTGGAAGATATGACAAAAACTACAAATAATTTAAATAATTTAAAGGTCAGTGGAAAAAAAATTAAAATGATATTCAAAAATAATTACGTTTAAAGAACTTTACCTCAATAATTTGTTCATCTGTAGAAACACTATTAACAAAAGCTTTATATAAAGTTTCAACTTCTTGCTCGGGCATATTTTTTAGCATTTTTAATTTTGATACTTGATGATGTACATCAAAAGATTTTATGTTACGTGTTTTCAAATAATTTTGGAAATCCTAAATAGTATAAAGTAGGAAAACAAAACAAAAGCTGTAATGAATAAAGATAAATAAAGAAATGCTTTGAATAATCGAACAATAATTTCTTTTAATCATTCATCACACAAAATTCTTACCAACTGATAATATTTGTAACTAATGGTCTGTCTCCATCCTTCTATCCTATTAATGTTAGCAGCAAGTTCTCTATGCTTTGAATTATCATCTTGAAATGCTAGACCTGTACCAAGAATCCCTGGATAATACGTATCCTCTGGCATCATTCCGATTTTAGTTGAACCAAAAGTCTCAACTTCATATAATGCTGTAAGCCGCACGAAACGTTGAACATATTCTTGAAATTTACCACGTATCGCTGTTTCACCATAATGGTGTTGAATTGCATGCATTACCTAAAATTTTGATGAATTATGATGAATTTTGATGAATAACATTGAAAACGAAAATATTTTTAAAGCATATGATATTATATAATAAAATAAATAAATAAATAATAAAAGATATATACTTCAGCCATAAACTCATTATCAGCCGTATCCCATTTTTCTCGTCCCCAAGATTCAGTTTTGCTCGAAGGAGATCTCATACCTTCTTCAGGTTTTTCATCTGGTTTAGTTCCATATGAAGGTGTCGCAATATCCTTACTAACAATAATTTTTCCAGTATCAATATTACATAAAACATCCCACCATGTACTATGATCCTCAAAAATTCTATTTGTTACTCCGGCTATAAATCCTGGTCTAAATAAATAAAAAAAAAAGTTAAAAAATTGAAACAATAAAGCTCAAAAAATAATAGAATCAATAATAAAATAATTCTCACACTTTTAATAAATCATCAACATTTGTTAAATTAGTGTATGGAAACGCACGTTCCGTAAATCCTCCTAAAACACCACCACTTCCACTTCCCATAGCACATGCGGATAACACATAATTAGCAACATCACCCGACGGATGTCCTTGTCCCAAGAAAATAATTCGTTTCTGGGTAAGCAGAGCATTAAGTAGCAAAATTATTGGTTGAGTTTGATTTCCGCTTGAATCCAAATGCGGATGAAATGGGTGATTAAATGGAGTTGGAGATGTTGGATTGAATGTAGTGATCAGTTTAATTAGTGAAAACTATTAGATATTTGAGTATGAAATGAAGAAAATTACAATATTATAAATTGATATAAATAGTTAATAAAATTATAATAAAACATATATAGTGCATACAGTACATATTATATGACTTACATCACCGACTTCTTCAGGATTAACAGTTAACGGTACTCTTATAGGCAGCTTAATTCCATTATATACAATTTTTGTCTCAAAGAAATGTCTATCCTTATTTTTACTTAAATTTGGAGCCAAATCAATGTAGGTTCCTCGCTTCAATTTTTCTCTCTCTTCTTCACTAACAATAACATAATCACTCCCATAACCTTCACTATTTTCATTAATAATTCCTAATCCTTTACCTGAACTATCATCAGATAATTGTTCACTCAACGAGATTGCAGAACCTTCTTGCATATGCTTTCTACTGTTTTCATATGCTGTAAATTTTTCTTCAAACATATCTTTGTTCTCAGATGCACGTAAAATAGCTTTTTCATGTGCATTAAATATTGGCATAAACTTACAATCCATTGAATTAACAGCTTGATAGAGTGATGCAAGACATTCTATTGAAGGATCTTGAAAATAATTGTCAAGCGCTAATAAAAGAACCGGCTATATTAATTGAGACAAATTTGTTTTATTAATAAAAACATTAAATTTAATATAAAATTAAGAAAAATAAATAACTGCAACCTTATAAATATGTAAAAATTGATGCCTAGTACAAATTGCCATAGCTTTCACTACAGCGCCTCTAAAAAGCAAATTTAGCATTATTATATGAAATCAATAATTTGTACAATTTTAAATAGGCATTAAATGCTTATAATATCATATAAAAATAGCACACCTTCTAGCCTCTTTGTCATGCCTAGTCCTAACTAAATTTAATGCATACAATAATGGAGTTTCATTATCTAATGAACGATCAGGTATCAGATCAATTGAAATTTTATCAGGATCTGGAACGGTTTGATTTAAAAAGAACACAGTCCAATCTTCGGTACGTAAATGAGCACCATCTGGTAACATTAACTCTGCCAATAAGCTATATTAAATTAATATTAATAAAAAATTTATTTTTTAAATTGTGAATCAAAGAATTAATAACTTTTAAGAGACTAGCACAAAGAACTTACTGCTCATCCGTACCAGTGGGCTCGGGATATTGATGTGCTAGAGAAGAACCTTTATCGATATCAAATTCCGCTAACAATATATGAGTTACGTGTTCTCCTAATGGTTGTGTCATTATGAGAACTTTTCAAGAAATTATTATATATAAAAACAAATGTTAGAAATAAAAATAAATTAAAGATTGATAATTGTATGAAGGGATAGAATTGTTCTTACAAGGATTATTATTATTTTTTATTGATAAATAAGTTAAATAAATTTTCACACAATCTAAATCCTAAACCTTAAAGATTACTGCATATCTGAACACGCAAAATTCAAAAGTTTGTTTATATAGCAAAATCTCATGTGAAACGTATACAAATTTATTCGCATGGTACAGATTCATGTGGTGAAACGGTTTGATCGAATGCCAACAGCTAACCAATTATATATATTTGATAAACAAATGCAGTCCCTATCGATCCACGTATTTCTTAACTTTCAATAATGTAAAAGAAAGCATTTTTTTAAAATGCTGACTCAAATCCTTTTTTATTCTTATGCAGAAGATAAAGCCTTGAATGCTCGTTTTTAAGTCATGTATCAACTACTTTAAATATCGATAACAGGTGGACATTTGGGAACCCCACAGTAAAAGGTAGCAGCCTTGGGACTAGGGATGGGACACTGCGCAGGCGGAATTTTTCGGAAGCCCGGAATTTTTCGTAATAACGCAGAATTTAACAATTTTGGCCCGCATTAGCTGTAATGCAGGCCCGTGCAGGCTGCGCAGCCTGCGCAGTAGATTCGAAAAATCCTCGATTTTCCCATCCCTACTTGGGACATTTTGGTTTTACGTAAATTTTGCTGTGATTTGATCTAAACCTTTAAACTACAGAAACATTCGCCTGTTTATAATACAAATGAGCAAATTTACTTATAATTTAAAGGTTTAGATCGGTATATATGAAATTATAGCAAAATCTACGTAAAACTAAAATGTCCCAATGCTACACCTTTTCATTTGTGAACATAATTGCATTAGTTACGTTTTTGATGCATTCGTAATTAAAGTACTTTTGAATTTTCCGTCTGTCCACTCACGTGATTTGTTAATATTTTTATAGTTTAATAATCGTAGTCCATTAAATATTATTTACTATGCTTTTTATTTAATTATATTGTCACGGGTATGGGCGGAAACGTATACGGAAGAAATGCGACGAATTGTCGTAACGTCACTCAAAAGGCAGTTTACAATTTGGCACAGGCTAAGGCGGCTTTTGAGCACATTACAAGATAAGGGTAGAGTCTTTCAAAGAGAGTTTATTATTTTGTATTTTTAGAGGGGTCTTTTATTAACAAGTTTTAATTATCTAAGGGCACACTCGACTCTGTTCTTACAAGAGGGAAAATTCCACCTCTATTTATAACAAATTTTACCGTACAAAGAGTACGTAACCTTCTCCCTTCTTTTCGTTAAATTCCCAACTCATTTCACCTTATTTGTACTAATTTTTTTACCCTTTCATGCACAGCCTTTCGTTATTTTAACATTTCTCAGAAATGTTTCAGTGCCACCTTCTCTCTAACATTGTTACCACAATCGCATTCCTTTTACCACTGCCTCACACTTATCCAAACAGGGTAGTATTAAACCAACGTCCATTTCCAGCCGTTAGAGGGCGAAAGATAAGTCTCGATCGACTTTTCCTTATTGGATGGTGGTGGTCCCACACTGGGGCTTGGCGTACGATCCTTCTTCGATCGCATGGTCTCGATCGTCTCGATCGGGGCCTGGCGTATATTGTTAGTGGCAAACCTGTACATCCCCCGATCTCGAAGAACTGCCTAAAATGGATGAACAGTGAAGTCCCGAATCGATGCTGCATGGGATCGTGACCGTAGCCGCTAAGCCCCCAGAACAATTACCGTTGTCAGGCCCGAAATGGTAAAGTA